CTCTGCAAACTGGCATAATAGAAGAACCCGAAGGAGAGTGTTTGACGATTGCGTCAATAAAATGGCCGACGAAGATAGAACTGCCATCATCTTCTGACATAATCGGCCCATTAACCGCTTCATCGAGAACCTTCAAGTAAAAAGCCAGTTTTTCTCCATTTACTTCAACAAGAGCCATGCTAGTGATGTCTTGGGGCCAGTTATTTTATTAGTAGACGCTCTTTTCCTTTTGGCCCATCCAAGAGCTGACCAATATTTGTACTATAAGGAAAAGATCATCAATTAACTTTAGCCTCCTGTCGATGGGTCGTTGAGATGACCTCTGATTATACTTGCCACCCTCCAACAACAGATGGCCAAACATCGTTCCACCATCAGCCCTCCTCCGCCACAACTTTCTTTGAACTCATTTGTCATCACAGCCTCCTCTGCCCTGATTTAGCCCCGATCCACAGCTGCCTTTGTTTTGTCCATCTCATCGTGAGTGGATGAACTGATTTTTCCCGAAGAGCAGAAGACTCCTCTCCTCAGCTTCCATTGACAGACTTGTGACCGGCCTCATTCAATGATCCACAATGTATTTTGCTTGTCGGCCAGCCAATTCGCAGCCCAGTTCAGTGATTGTATCTAATTTGGAGAAGAGGAAGAGACTTGGTCGGTGAAGAGGGGGGGGAGGAGAACGACCGGAAGGGTTGTTTAACCTCAGTCGACTCCTCCTCCATTTCTCGCCTGGCCGGGCAGGTGGGCGGGTCGGACCGGGCTTTTCGTACGTGAAGGCTCATTCCGGAATGTGGCAAAGTGCCCAGACCCAGTTGCGACCCCGCATTTGAAGAGGCACTCTGTAACACCCGAGAGCTGACGTGGCGCTTTTTCATTGTTCCATCCGTGGACGAGATTAATCATTGCAAAAACTAGTCATACTTCGATGCTGACTCGGCCGGCTGATGAGCATCGTGATTTTACGCATAAAACTGCCAAGTCGACTTCGATGTCCCCCACGCTTGACGTGATCTGCCAGGCCTGCACGCGAGGCTTAAACAAGCAAATCGACGCATTGACAGACCCACATACAAAAACAAGCACAAGCCTGTACACTATTTTGCGATGGCACATACAAAGTGGCCGCGTTTTGAGCAGATAATGGCACATTCAGTGCAAAATGTTG